CTCTGTTAAATCTGTTGTAAATCTTCTCTGTGGCAGGGCAAATCCAGTCCTTCCTGTCTCTCCAGCTCATTACAGCCCTGCATCATGCCATTCTAGTACATCTAGTCTGCACCATCAGTTCTTGATATACTTTGTTATGTGGGGTATCCAAAATTGGGCACAATACTCCAGCTGTAACCAGTACTTTTATATAAAAAAGCTTCCTGAGATTTGCTATCTTGTCAGGCAACACAGTGGCTCAGTGGTTAACACTGCTGCTTCACAGCACCAGAGACCCAGGTTTGATTTCAGCCTCGGGTGATTGCGTGGAATTTGCAGTTCTCGCTGTGTCTCTGTGTGGTTCCTCTGGGAGGCTCCAGTTTCCTTCCACAGTCCAAAGATGTGCAGGTTAGGTGGATTGGCCATGCTAAATTGCCCATAGTGTCCAGGGATGTTCAGGGTAGGTGGGTTAGCCCATGGTAAATGGAGGGTTACAGAGATAGGGCGAGGGGGGGTGGTGAGACATGGTGGGATGCTATTCAGAGGCGTGGTGTGCACTTAGTGGGCCGAATGGCCTGCTTCCACACTTGGGATTCTATGGTTCTTCACAAAGCCCAGGATCTCATTTGCCTTTTTAACCTGTTCTGCCATGTTTAAAGCATTGTGCCAGAACATCCTCAGACCCCTTTGTTCCTGCACCCTTTTATGCCAAGATATGAGACCGGTGCCATCAGCCACCGAAGTTTAAAGTGGGTGAGGGAAGAAAAGACGGTAAGAAAGAAAAGTGACGATTTCTTTATCTTTCACTTGAATCACAACTGGAGGCAATTTATTCCTTTCTCCCTCCCACTGGAAAGGAATGCAGGCATGAGAAGGCAAGAACAGAGAACAGCATGGAAATAATGCACTCCTGTGGGCCCACTGCTTTTTTTTCAATTGAAGGAATGAACACGCACGTTATCGAAGTCTTCATCTTTGATTTTATATTTAAAAAATCCCCAATTATTTCAGCTCGGGTGAGGCTCTTTTTTTTTATGTCGTTTGGAAACTGTATAAATGTTATTGCAGCAACGTGTTCCCTGACAATCTCCCTTCCAGCTCACACTGAATACACTGGCAGCAAGAGCCGGAATGTTATGAAACTGACCTGTAATTGACACGCAGAGCCCGAGGACTGCATGTCCCCTGAAACTGCATACTGCGCTTTGGAATCTATTTCTATGTGTCTCAGCCAGACTGCGAGGTAAAATAGCGCCTGGAATGCAGTGCATTTGTCAGGGATTGGGGTGGGGGGTTGTGTGTGAGAGAGAGAGAAAGCAGCATTCTGCCTTCAGTAATTCTGTTTCAACTACACCTCCTGCCAGCCAAAGCAGGAACAACACCAACAAGGATTTCGCCGAAGGAATTCTTGCACTCCCTCTGACAGACAATTGCCTGCCATGGGAAGGGAGTGGGGTACAAACACAGAACAGGGTGAAGGGGGCACAGGCGGGAACTGTCCTTTTCCCAAATGCCACAGTCTGAGGCAGCTGGAGTCCAAACTGAGTTTCTGTACGTTCCCTTTCCCAGCAAAGGTTACTACTACATGTTCCAGTCAGCAGCAGGAACATTTATTTCTACTCTTTGGCTTTCTGTAATGGCCGGCGCCAGTCTTCGGTTTCTTTCCGAACAAGTTACATTTAGAACCTGGGTTGCGCAAGTTGTTTGAACATGTGGGAACTATTCGGATAATTTCGCAATTGCTGACCTTTCCGCTCCGACGAGGGGAAGTTGCCTTCTCTCTCATCAGCCTGGCAACCAAACCCGAGCCCATTTAGTGAACAGCGCAGAAACTCTGAACTGTTGCAAAGGTCTAAAAGGGACTTTTAATCAAAGCGGCTAAAAATAGACAAATTAGCCTAGTGCCTCGGAACTGGGAGGCTCAAACTCCAGCGGATGATTAGAGCTCTCAAGAAATGGAACGGGAAGACAGCCAAAAGAACCGTGTCAGCACTGCGAGAAATAAAGAGTAAAATAACTCTCCAAGACATTTATTTTAATTACCATTTTAACTGGGTCAGATTCTAAACCAGCAGCTATCGCTCTTAAAGAAAATGATCACAAGTTTCAACAGGCCTATACTAATTTTAATCAGACACACCACTGAAGCGAGTGGGGCTTAAACCCAAGCTTGCAGGCTCAGAGTTAGGGACACTACCAGAGTGAAACAAGGCCCTTTCCCAACAGGCCTATAAACTTACAATGACTGCCACTTCACTTGAGATGAACATGTGACCAGTCTGTGGAAACCAAGAGGAAGAATTGAGACAACTCTGTAAAAGGGCGATTGTTATCTCAGAGATAGTAGGAACTGCAGATGCTGTTATCTCAAGTTGTTGATTTCCTGATCTGGCTCCCAGTGAAAACTCAAATAAAAGTGCAGTCAATAGAACAGATAAATCTATACTTCTAAAAGTTTTAGAGATAGGGTAAAGTAACGGTTATACAAGGAAACCCACAATCCAGGGGCCTATTCAGATGGTCAGGTAGAACACGAAATAAAAATCCCATCGTGGTGGTTGGAGAATTTCAGTTCAGACCTTCAATGAAGTGACAATAGCCACAAAGTTGTTGGTTCTTGTAAGAACCCAACTGATTTACTCAGTAGATAAC